ACTTTTGCTCAAGTCACTCACAAAAATCAATGCTGACAACTTAAATGTAATTACTTTGAATCTGACGAGTATTTATGAGGATCATCTCTTTGAAACTGAATCTTTCTACTTAAGAGAATATGTATCTCCTATTATTTAAATGTCTTACAAAAAGTTTCATAATTTCCAAGGTGTTGCATGTGTTCCTAGATTTTTCATTGCTAGTGTCAGTATCACGTTTTCATGACATCTTTTGTCTGTGGCTAATATAAAGGCAGCAATGGGTTACTTTTAATATGGACTATACATCTAACCATCTTGTGACACATTTTTTTGATTCTTAATTTTTTTAAGTAGATGATTATGACGCCTGAGAAGGACAGTGTAATTTCTTCTTTTAAATCTTTATATCTGTTTCCTATCTTTCTAGAGAGGACAGGACCTCAGAACAATACTGGGAAGAGCACAGTATTGGTTTATTTCAGACTTAAAGAGATAGCTTCTAACATTTTCCTACTAAGAAACACATACTTTTCATCAGGCTAAGGGGAGTTTCCTTATATTCCTAATTTACTGAGAGCTTTTACCATGAACAAATGTTGACATTGTTTTCAATGTTTTTTCCTAATCTACTCAGGTGAACATATGAATTTAATTGTCTAATGTGAAGAATTAAATCTAGTATTTTCCACTGGGAACCACCCTTACATTTCTGGTAAAACTGAACTTGATCTTTTTTGACAACCTGTTGGATTTTACCTATGCTCACAGTAAGATCAGCTCCTTGCATCCTTTGCTTCCATTGCTTTTGCTGGGTTTAGACACAAAGGTTACATTAGTCTGAATGATGCATTTGGAGCAAACTCTCAACTGTGCTAGCCTCTGGAATAGCTTGTGTAAAAGTACAGAGATCTGTTCCTTTCAGGTTCAGTAAAACACCTGAATATAAACCTCTGACATCTAAAAACGGAGTCTGGTCCTATCTCTATGGAAAAAGGAAGAAAAAAAAAAAAAACTTTTTCAACAACTGGTTAATTTCTTCCTTCAGTGATTATATAAATATTCCAACTCATAATTTCTTCTTAATTTCATACTTAAACTGTATTTTCTCATAGTATCTTATTATCTTCACAATATCTGCAATGTCTATAATCATGCCTTTTTCCATTTGCAATATTATTAAGCACACTTTACTCCCTTGTAAATGGATTAGTGTAGTGTTTTCTCTCCCCATTACATCTCTATCTTGTATGTCACTAATTTCTGATCCTTCTATTGTTGCTTTCTAAAACTTTCTTGGATTCATAGTGAGCAAAAAGAGCAACGCTAGCCAGGTGCCAGTGGCTCAAGTCTATAATCCTAGCTACTTGGGATGCTGAGATGAGGAGCATCTCAGTTCCAGGCAAATACTTTTAGAGACCCCATCTCCAAAATAACCAGAGTGAAAATAGACTACAGGCATGGCTCAAGCAGTAGAGTACTTGCTTTGTAAGCACAAAGCCCTGAGTTCAAACTCAAGTCCACCTCCCCCAACTAAGCTGGCCAAGAAAACAGAATGAGCACCACTGGTGGTATTCACAATAGCAGACTTCAAATTACACTACAGAACCTTAGTAACAAAATCAGCATATTAATGGAACAGAAAGAGAGACAAAAACCAAGGGAATAGAAGACCCAGAAAGGAGCCAAAAACCAGAGAAAAACAGCCTCTTCAACAAAAGGTGCTGGGAAAACTGGTGATCTTACCCTGCACAAAAATCAACTACAAATGAATCAAAGACCTTAATGTAAGACCTGAAAACTTTTCACACTACTATAGGCAAAAACAAGGAAAACTCTGGATGAAACGGGCATAGGCAATCACTTTCTGAATAGGACACCAATTGCCCAGGAAATAAAAGCAAAAATTGATAAATGGGATTGCATCAAATTAAAAAGTTTCTGTACATAGCAGTTACCAGAATCAAGAGGTAACCCACAGAATGGGAGGAAAACTTGACCAGTTATTCAAAAGATAAAGAATTAACATCCAGAATATACAAAGAGCTCAAAAGACAAAATAGCAAAAGAACAAATAATCCAATTAATAAATGGGCAAATGAGCTGAGCAGACAATTCTCAGAAGAAATTCAAGTGTCTAATAAATATAGAAGAAATATTCAACATCCTTAGTCATAAAGAAAATGCAAATCAAAACTGCACCAAGATTCCATCCCAACCCAGTCAGATCAGCAGTCATCAAGAAAACAAACAAATGCTAGGGGGCAGGAAGAACCCTCCATACACTGTTGGTGGGAATGTAAATTGGTGCAACCACTATGGAAATTCCTCAAAAAACTAAAAACTGACCTACCTTATGAGCCCACCATACCACTCTGGGGCATACACCAATAAATCAACATACAGAAGAGATACCTGCATATCCATGCAGTTCTCTTCACAATAGCCTAACTACAGAATCAGCCAAGGTGCCAAACAGCTGATGAACAGATAAAGAAAATATGGTGTACACACACACACACACACACACACACACACGCCATGGAATATAATTCAGCCATAAAGAAAAATGGGAATGGGATTAGGTCATTTGCTAGTAAATGAATGGAACTTGAGATTATGTTGAGACTAGCCAAGCTCAAAAAACTAAATATTGCATGTTCTCACTCATTTGTGAACCCAGAAATAAAATGATGACAATGATGATGATAATGATGATGACCATGGGACATGACGTGAAAGGGGGACAGTGTGGGGGAGAGAAATCAATAGATGGGGGAAGGGGAAAAGAGGAACAAGCTACGCTACATATGTATGTTCAAAGACAGCATAATGAAACCCACCAAATCCTGTACAAAAGAGTGGAGGGGAGGAGGGGAATGGGAATATAATGGAGGGCTGAACTTTAAACATGTATGGAATTACCACAATGAAACCCACCTCCATAAGTTATTCATGTATACTAATTCAAAATATATCATAAAAAATAAAACAAGAAAAATCTTTCTTGGATTTATAAATTTCTAAGGTAACAGTTATTTATTGGTTACTCTCTTGTTAACATATGAATTTAAGACTGATTTCCCTCAAGTACCACTTGATTAAAATCTTAGACGTTTGGATACACAATGACTTTACAATCATTTTTATACTCATCCAGGTCTTAACTTTTTTCTTCTACTTTCTTTGACTCATGAGTTACTTAGTAGTTCCCTTTCAATTTACAAATAGATGATGTTTAAATCTCTACATAGGTAGAGATTTCTAACTTACCTACATTGTGGACAGAAAACAAGGTCTCTATATCTCAGTTTTCTGAAATTTAATACACTTTAGGTCTAGCATGACACATTTTTATCAATGTCTCATGTACTCAGGAAAATTATACCTATTTTCTAATTTGGGGTTAAAGTTTAGTAAACCAAACATGATAATCGTGTTATTCAAATCATTATTTTTTTATTAACTTTTGTCTTTTTGACCTCACAATGAGTTGAGGGAGGAGTTGAAATTATCCACAATGCTAATTTTGCTAATGATAATAAATCTGCCAGTTTATCATCATCCATTTATTTGTATATTTTGAGACTAGTTTTAAATACACAGATTTAAGATTATGCTTCTTGAAAAACTGAACCTTTTATCATACTCAGCAACTCTTTCACATTAACAATGTTTTTTGCTTTAAAGTACTGACTGAGGCAGGTTAGAAGTAGGAAAGTTTGGGGCTCATGTAGTTGCCTGGGAATGGGCCAGACCACCCAAACCTGGCTGGGGACACCCCATGCCCCTCCCCACTCATTATTCATCATTCATATTGGATGGGAACCTCCTGGGCCTGCCCTCCCATGAGGTAGTGTAGGTTTTAAAGGCTCCTAAAATAGAAAAGCACTCTTTCTCTGCCAGTGGACTCTCACCTACATCCACCATGTGTCCACTTCTTCTTCTTCCCTTTCCTCACCTGGCAAAACAGCTGACTCCCCTTTTCTCAATTACCTCACCCCTCCACGTGCTCTGCTAGGATTTTTTTCCATTTGGAGCACAAAAACCAGGATCTTCTGATCACAGACTGCACCAGTGCCATTAACAGTATTAATACTGATATACCCCCTCTGGTTAGTAATCTTCTTTCAAAAAAGCTTACACCAGATGTAGCTACTATTAACAATATATAACTGATTTTAACTTTTTAATCAAATCTGAACAATTTCTTTTAACAGCAATTTTAATCACCTGAAATTAATGATAATTCCCGAATACATTTTGACATCTTACTACTCAATTTTTATTGTTGTTTTCTGGGGAGAAGGTACTGGGGACTGAATCCAGGGCCTTACACTTGCTAGGCAAGCACTCTTCCTCTAACATCCACAGGCCATCTCCTTTTAGATAGGGTCTCACAAACTTTGCCCAGGCTGGAATGGAGCTAGTGATTCTCCTCTGACCACCTCCCAAGTACCTGGGATTATAAGCAGGTGCCACCAAAAATATGCTTCTTTCACCTCTCTACATTGCTTAATATTAGGTGAACTTTTGGGGTTTGTTTTGTTTTTCACTGTTCTCTATCCCTCTTCTCTTTTCCAAGTTTTATGCTCCATTCTTATTCCATGAATTTTACCAAAAATGCATAATCCCTAGGTGCAATAAATTAAAGCTCTCTACCAAAGAAAACAAAGGCCTTAAAATTCAAAAATCAAAGAACAAAGGAAGTAGTCTAAATTTCAACTAGAATTCAGTAGTTAAAAAATAAACAAAAATGATGGAAGATTAGAATTAATTTCAAACCAGGAAAAGCAAAGAAGAAAAAAAGACAACTGTCACTTTAAAAAGCTGGGAGGGGGGAGGCAGATCAGAACCAGTGACCATTTTAGTATAACCTATGTGCTAAAAATAAAAATGGTTATTACAAGCTGTGCTTGTACTGGCCTGTAATCCTAGCACTAGGGAAGCAGAGGTAGAAAGATTAGAGTTCAAGGCCAACTTGAGCTACACAGAGAGACCCTGTCTCAAAAACAGAGAAAGAAAAGTTTTACATTTTTAAGTAAATATTTTTTTAAATAGTATTTTATGAAATTCAAATTTCAATCTGCATAAAGTTCTACTGCAACAGAGATGTGCGTGTTTATATATCTATGGCTGCTTTCATATTACAATGTCAAAGCTGTAATTATTACTATGCCTCTCTAAGAAAAAATTTGCCTGTCTCTGATTTTTAGCATATTAAAAAGTACAGTGGATGGAGATACTTAGTTTCTATAAGCCCTCCAAAATCTCAATGAATCATCACAAAAGGTACCTTAAAATGTTTAAGCCTACTGCAAAGTGGCAATAAGAATTATTATTAATAACTATTGAAGAACTCTTGGAGCATAAAAGAAGATTATATCAGGACCCAGAGATGCTACAATCACAGAGAAGAAAATTCCACTGCAAAGATAACAGTTCCAGAAAGCTTCCAAGTTCAGAATCCATAAAATAGAGATTCTGGAAAAATATCAGTGTCATTAACAATGAATGAGAGTGGCCTTAGCCACACCTATCTATAATGCACTGAATAATAAAAGATTAATATAAAGTGTCATTTAAAATATTTATGAAATAATCCTACAGAAGGATGAAGGATATAAAAAGGTGTTTTCGGAAGGGAAAAGACAAGTCTAATTTGAAAAGATAAAATATCACACAAACCTTTTGGGAAATGCAAATTAATATACTGAGGTGTCTTTTTCTCCCCCTGGAAAAACTTTAAGAAACAGCAACATTAAATGCTGACAAGAATACGAGCGAACAAGTACTGATTTATAACTGATGAAATATAAATTATTACAATACTTTTGGAACACAATTTGGATAGGACTTATAAAATACATAATGAACAATGGACAGTTGGAATAGCAACTCCATGCTTAGGAATCCATCCTTATGTTCAAGGTCATTCACTGATTCTGTACAAGTAACAAAAACAACAAAATACTAGATGTTCATTAATTAAGAAATAATTCAAGAATGTGGATTAGACTATGGGTTAGTATACAAAAGAATTTTAAAACATTAAAATAAATTGATACATACTGTAGTTCTAAGGAAATAGTTATGATCCTATTTATATAAAAAACAAAAAAATCATCCAGGCACTGGTGGCTCACACCTGTAATCCTAGCTACTCAGGAGGATTGCAGTCTGAAGCCAGGCTGGCAAAAACCCATCTCTCTCTCTCTCTCTCTCTCTCTCTCTCTCTCTCTCTCTCTCTCTCTCTCTCACACACACACACACACACACACACACACACACACACACACACACACACAAAAGAAAGGGGGGGGCTGGTGAAGTAGCTCAGGGCAGGGACCTGGGTATGAACCTCAGTGCCACAAAAAAAAAAAAAAAAAAAAATCGACCAATGTTTACATACACAATTATTTAAAAGATACAGACAGTTTAAGTCAAAGGTTTATGCCAAATTATTCAATTGTCTAATAAATATTTTCATATGCCATACCATCATATTTGGGAAGCATCCGTAATTTTAAAGTATTTCACATATTTTTCAAATTGAATATATTAAATGCTGCTTTAGGGAAACCAGGTATAGGTCACAATTACCTAATTATGTAAGTATTTGACCAAAACTTACATTCAAAGAGAGTGTGTAACTTTTTAATTGTGATATTAAAGATTGCCTACAACATGCCGAAAGGAGAATGTAATTATACTTACCAATATCATTAATCACGGCTCTGATTTTGGAGACAAAAGGACCAACTTCACTGGAAGGCATTTTGGCTCTTTCCTTAAGGTCAGCACCTGCAACGCATTTCAATTACAAATATAATCTTGTCATAAACAACATTTAAAGGCAAAGACTAATATATAACTTCAAAGTCAACTGAATTCAGCTGTTAAAGGAGTTTTATTGCTAAATTCCCCTTCCCAATAACTAACACCAGCAACGATAAAATATTTCTTGATTCACACATCTAGGACGTGTTTAAAGCAGTGCTTTTCAAACTGTCTGGTCTGAGGATCCTGCATACTCTTATAGGAAGAGATTATGATTGGATTACAGTGACCATAGTTCTTTTACCAGAAACTGAAACTTAGAAAACATCTTGTTTATTTACTAAAAAATTACAGACACACAATGCTAACACAAAGACTACAAACTGGGGCCAGCACGTTGGTTTCTAACAGTTCTAACAACCTGTGCTTTGGTCTCATCAGTGCAAAGGCCAAGCCAATGAAAGGGAAAATTACATATATATCAGTGCTGGGAAGCCATTCTGACTTCTTGGATGCCCACCTTAACGACTACAGACCCCATCTGAGAACCAGTGGCTTTAAAGTATGAACGAGGGAACAATTTTATTACATAATCCTAACTTTGGAGCAAAGAAAATTACATCCATGGAATTCTTTAAGGGATCATTAATTCTAAGCTTAACAATGACATTGTTTCAATAAAGCCAAAAATATGAGAAAATGTTGATTTCCATGTAAATAAACAACAAAGTAAAATTATAGTATACAAGGCATACACATGAGAGGCTATTCACTCTCATTATAAAGTAATCATGACTATGCATAATATCAAGTATGACTAGAGCTCATGCACTTCCCAGGGAAGTGAAAACTGGAGGTGACAGGTACACACTATATATTTTGTTAGTTATTATGTATACAGAAAATCTCAAATAACCAAAAAATATGCACAATGACATTCAATACAACTTATATGGAATAGCAAAAAATTGTAAATAACCTAAATATTCATCAAGAAATGAAAGAATTAACAATATAAATACATAAATCTATTGAGGGAAAATATAATTACAGAAATATACATTGCATAATAACTTTTTAAAACGAAAAAGGAAAATACATATAAAATGTATTACATCAAACTAATGAGCTTCTGCACAGCAAAGGAAATCATCAAGAGAGTAAAGAGACAACCTGCAGAATGGAAGAAAGTTATTTGTTAGCTATTTGTCTTACAGAGGATTACTATCCACAATTTGTAAGGAAGTCAAACAACTCAATGGCATGAAAGCAAATAACCTGATTTAAAAATGGGAAAAGGTAGTTCTTAAAAAAAGACAAAACAGTCAACAAGTATGTGAAAAAATGCTCAACGTGACTAATCATCAGGGAAATGCAAACTAGAACTACAATGAAATATCACCTCACACCAGCTAGAATGGCTATTATCAAAAAGATAAATGAGGACTGGGGGGGTGTGGCTAGAGTGGCAGAGCTCCTGCCAAGCAAACATGAGGCCCTGAGTTCAAACCCCTCAACAGTGGGGAAATAAAAAAAAAGGAACCCCTGAACACTATTGGGAATGTAAATTAATACACTCATATGGAAAACTATTTTTTGAGGATTCTCAAAAAATTTAACAATTCATATGATCCCGCACTTTCCACTGTTTGCTACCCTCAATCCAAAAACATTAAATGAGAAATAACTCAGACATTTTCAAATCACACAGTATTCTGAACTGTGTAAATTTCACACTGTTCTATTTCTTATTGTTCTAGACATGAATTTTCCCCCTACCCACAGTATTCATACTGTATATTCTACCCATCCATTAATCAGTAGCCATCTTGGTTATCAGAATGTCATGGAATTGCAGTGCTTTGTTCAAATCATCCTTATTTTACTTAATAATGATCATTAAGTGCAAAAGTAGTGTTGTTGGCAATTCAGCTATGCCATAGAAAAATCACAAAGAACACCCTTTAAGTGAAAATGTTAACGTTCTCAACTTAGTGAGAAAGAAAAATATATACTGAGGTTGCTAAGATCTACAGTAAAAACAAACCAGAGGGGCTGGTAGGGGCTGGAGGAGCAACTCACGCAGTTAAGAGCATCTGCCTTGCAAGTGTGAGGCCCTGAGTTCAAACCCCAGTGCTGCCAAAAGCAAAAAGGAGAAAACATGGCCTATATAGATATACTTCATTTTGTTGCATTTCACTCTATTATACTTCATAGACACATTTTTTACAATGGAGGGTTTGTGGCAAACCTGCATCAAAAAGAATGATAGAGGGGGTGAATTCAACTATTACACATTATAAGAACTTTTGTAAATATCACAGTGTACCTGAAGCACAACAATAATAAAAATAATTAATTAAGGAAAAAAAAAGTCTATCAGTGCCATCTTCCCCAAAGCATGTGCTCACTTCATGTCTCTGTGTCACCTGTTGATAACTGTCACAATACTTCACACTTTTTCAGTATTATTATATAATGCTGATCAGGAATCAGTGATCATTGGATACTATTACAATTGTTTTGTGGTGCCACAAACCATGCTTGTATAAAACAGAGAGATCGATAATAAGATAAAATATTCAAATTAGGCCAATTAAAAACCCTACAACAGCTGAATATTGTAGATGTATTCTCTACTCATATATGGAAATAGAAGAATAAAACCTGCTGAAATTGTTCTAAGAAGGAGGAGAAAGGAATGAGGGAGAATGATGGAGTGGATAAATTTAAGCTATACTGTAAGCACAGATGTAAATATCACAATGTATCCCCCTGTACAACTATTACATGCTAATAAAAAATTTTTAAAAACCTACAACAGCCTCTAAGTGGTTCAAGTGAGAAGACGATTCACATGCCTCCAACAAGCTTCTGCACAGCAAAGGAAACCATCAACAGAAAGCTAGAAATAACTAAGCTTGGTGAGAAAGATGTGTTGAACGCCAAGGCAGACTCAGTTAGGCCTCTTGCACCAAACACTAGCTGAAGTTGTGAATGCAAAGGAAAAGTTCTTGAAGGAAATTAAAAGTGCTACTCCAGTGAACACATACAATGTAAGAGAGCAAAACAGACTTATTGCGGGGATGGAAAAAGTTACAGGATAGAAGATCAAACCAGTCACAATATTCCCTTAAGCCAATCCAGAGCAAGGCCCTAAGTCTCTTAAAATTTTATGAAGGCTGAAAGGAGGAGGAAAGCTACAGAAGAAAAATTCTGAAACTAGCAAAAGTTCAAAAACTGAAAAATCTGAAGCTATCAAAAAGATTCACAAAGTTTAAGGAAAGAAGCTGTTTCCTAACAAAAGTGTAAGGTGGAACAGCAAGTATTAATGCAGAAGCCACTCCAAGTTACCCAGAAAATCTAGGTAGGATCACAAATGAAGGTGGCTACAGCTTTTCAAATCTAGATGGAAGAAGAGGCCCATCTAGGATTTTCATCCTAGAGAGGAAAAGTCAATGCCTGGCTTCAAAGCTAGTCAGCTCCAGGCTGACTGGAGGGGCTAGTGCAGCTGATGACTTTTAAGTTGAAGCCAATGCTCAATTACCATTCTGGAAATTTAGGTGCCTTAATAATTATACTAACTCTGCTCTGCCCATACTCCAAATGGAATAACAAAGCCTGAATCCCAACACATCTGTTTACAATATAGTTTACTATTTTAAGCCCACTGATGAAAACTACTACTCAGAAAAACACACATTCCTTTCAAAATATTACTGATCATTGACAATGCATTGGTCCCCCAAGAGCTCTGATGGTGATGTACGACGAGATTGTTGTTTTCAGGCCTGCTAATCTCATGTCCATTCCGCAGCCCAAGATCTAGGAGTTATTTCAACTTTCAGGAGTCTTTTTTAAGAAATACATGTCATAAGGCTGCATGGATTAGTGACTCCTCCTATGGGTTTAGATAAAGTTAACTGAAGACCTCTGCAAAGGATTCACCATTCTAGATGCAACTAAGAACATCCGTTACTCATGGGAGAAGGTCAAAATACAAACACTAATAGGAGTCTGGAAGATGTTCATTCCAATGCTCATGAATGACTTGGAAAGTTCAAGATTTTAATGGAGAAAGTAACTGCAGAGAAGGGGAAGGGCAAGAGAAGGAGAATTAGCAGTGAAGCCTAAACTGCAGTTAACATAATAAAACTAAAGGATAAGGAGATCATTCCTACGCATAAGAAAGCGGTTTCTTCAGATGGAATCCACTCTTAGTGAAGATACTGGGATGTTGCTGAAATGACAACAAAGGATTTAGGATACTGCACAAACTTAGTTGCTAACTCAACAATTCAACAGGGTTTGAAAGAGTAACTCCATTTTGAAAGAAGTTCTACTATGAATAAAATGCTACGAAGCAGCAACATATACTACAAGAGAAACCTGTGTGAAAGAAGAGCCAATGGACATGGTATCATAATTCATGGCTGAAATCTCTGAAGAAAGCCCAACTTCCATCAACTACCACCTGGATCAGTCAGCTGCCATCAATATTCAGGCAAGACCTTCCACTGACAGAAAAGACTACCTTCTGCTGAAGGCTTAAGTGATCATTAGTATTTTCTAGCAATAAAGTATTTTTTAACTACGATATGTATTTTTAGACACAGTGCTACTGCACTTAAACTGTGGTGTGGTATAAATGTAACTTTTATGTGCACTGGGAAACCAAAAATACTCATGTGACTAGCTTTATGTGACAACTTGTTTTATTGTGATATTCACTTCATGGCAGTGCCTGGAAAAGAACCCACTATAGCTATGATGTAGGCATCTTGTATTAGTCAATTTTCTGCTGCTACGTAACTTATAAAGAAAAAAAGACTGTTCTGACTCATAGTTTTAGAAGTTCCAGTCCATGACTAGTTGGCCCTGATGCACTGAGCATACAGAGAGGCAGCAGGAGCATGTGGCAGAGCAGAATCACTCACCCCATAGCCAGGAAGTAAAAAAAAAAAGGCAAAAGGGGTTAAGGTCCACAAGCTCCTTCAAGGGCATGCACCCAAGGACTTAAAGAC